CTTGGTTTCTAACTGCTCCTCCTCATGTGAAAAAAAACCAGGGTTTCTTGGAGGAAGAGCAGATTCAGGTTTGGGGCAAGGAAAATCCAAATACGGACCTGGGACATCTTATACTAGAAAACAATGAAATGCTCAAAGTCAAATGTGACTATGTCAAAGGACTAAAGGAGCTCCTACTGGCCAAAATTCAGGACAATGTGAGCATCCAAAAAAATGACATCAGTAATGGATTATATAATTCACTGAATAAAAAGAGAATCCACTGACATGTCAAAACTGAAAAGGGTAAAAAGAATAAGCTCTTCTTTACAGAAAAATGCAAGCTAATAAATATAGAAGGAATGATGAACTTAGAAGGGTCACCATTTTGCAACCCCCAAATGCAGTAACGAGTAAGGTGAGAATTGCCAATGGAAGCCAAAATCTTTGTGTAAATGCTTGCTGGGAAGCCAGATAATTACAACCTCAAAATTATTCATTACAAAGGGAAAAAATATAAACCTTTAGAAATACCAGACGGGTGCCACCGTAACCAAATGAACACTCTATCATCACCTGCAGTGGATTAGTCTGACATTATGTGCCTCCCTATGCAATGTGATGCGACGCGTATTGTCTGTGTAGGCCTCCTGTCAAAATGGTTATGCTGACTTTAATAGTGAGGAAAGAATGACAAATCTTGGTTGTAGAACAATAGATGACTGGCTTTACTAGACTCTTTAATAAAATCAACACCATGAAAAACAAAATGCAAAGGACCTGCAATAAGAGACTAACAAGAAATAACCCAATGTTATATGTGAACTTTCACTTGATCCTGGATCAGAAACAAAATAGAACAAAAAAGCTGTAAGATGTTGGAAACTGGGGAAATTGGAGTATAGCCTATAGATAAGATGAGGAGTTATTGTTCATTTTCTTAGGTGTGACATGACATTGTGGTTACAATAAGGGAGAATGCCCTTAGTAGATCATGTCTAACTTCCAAGTGGTTCAGGAAAGTCAACATATATTTAGGAAGAAAGAAAAATGTGGCAAAATGTTAACTATTGGTGAGTCTACGTTAGGAGTCTATGGATGATCATCAAACATTTCTTCCTACTTTCCTGTAGGTTTCCAAGTTTGAAAAATAAAAGAGTAGAGGAAATAATGCCAATTCTTTGGCTATACTTTAAGTTGAATTAACATCTTCAGAGCCAGGGCTCAAGATTTTTCATGACAACAAACATATGAAGATATGTTCACGATCATTGTTGTTGTTATGTGCCATCAAGTCGGACCCAACTCATAGTGACCCCTCCTTGGGTTTCCGAGGCAGTATTACTACAGAAGTAGATTGCCCAACCTTCCTTCCGAGGAGTGGCTGGTGGGTTTGAACCGCCAGCCTCCTGGTTAGCAGTCAAGTGCCTTAGGCACTATGCTACCCGAGCTCCTTCAAGATCATTAGCCATTGCAATAAACCAAACCAAACTCACTGCCATCGAGTTGGATCTGACTCATAGCGACTCCTCCTTGCGTTTCCAAGGCAGTATCTCTAAGGAAGTAGATCACCCAATCTTCCTTCCAAGGAGTTGCTGGTGGGTTTGAACCACTGGCCTTCTGGTTTGTAGTCAAATGCCTTAGGCACTATGCCACCAGAGCTCCTCATTAGCCACTGTCGTTGTTGTTGTTATATGCCATTGAGTCGGACCCAACTCATAGCGACCCCTCCTTAGGTTTCTGAGGCAGTATCACTACGGAAGTAGATTGCCCCATCTTCCTTCCAAGGAGTGGCTGGTGGGTTTGAACCGCCAGCCTTCTGGTTAGCAGTCAAGTGCCTTAGGCATTAGCCATTAGAGAGACGCAAATCAAAACAACGAGATACCATCTTGTCCTAGCACTAGTAGCAAAGCTCAACAAGACAGAAAATAACAAATGCTGGCGAGGATGTGGAGAGATTGGGACTCTTACACACTGCTGGTGGGACCGTAAAATGGTACAATCACTGTGGAAAGCAGTATGGTGATTCCTTAAAAAGCTAGAATCAGAAATACCATTCAACCCAGCAATTCCATTACTAGATATATATTCTAAATAAGTGAGAGCCAGGACAAGAACAGAGAGATATGCACACCCATGTTCATCGTAGCATTATTTACAATAGCAAAAAGATGGAAACAACCTAGGTGCCCATCTACAGAAGAACTGATAACCAAACTATGGTACATACAAACAAAGAAATACTGTACAACCCTAAAGAATAATGTAGAATCTGCAAAACACTACATAACATGGATGTACTTGGAGGACATTATGCTGAGTGAAGTAATTCAATCAGAAGGACAGATATTGTATTAGTCCATTATTGTAAAAAGTCAAGGGAAAGTTTACATATGGAAGGAAATTTTCTTTGTTGGTTACCAGGGGTGGGAAGGGAGGGAAGGGAACACTGCTAGATAGGTAGATAGAAGTATTGATTTGGGTGAAGGGAAGGGCAATGTACCAAATGTGAGTGATCAACATAGTGGCATTGAGGAAGAGGAAGACAGAGAGGGGCATGGGAGGTACAAAGAACAAAGATGAACCCTTTTGCACATGCAGTACTGCATTGTCAGTGATGGCAAACATTGACATACAGGTGGAAGATCGGTGGACAGGTTGAACGATTAGGTATGTCTATGCAGGGGGGAGGAGCTCTGGTAGCGTAGTGTAGTGCCTAAGGCACTTGACTGCTAACCAGAAGGCTGGCAGTTCAAATCCACCAGCCACTCCTTGGAAGGAAGGTTGGACAATCTACTTCTGTAGTAATACTGCCTTGGAAACCCAAGGAGGGGTAGCTATGAGTCAGGTCTGACTCAACAACAAATAACAACAACAACATGCAGGGGATGGTGTGCCCATGACCATATATAGGGTTGACAGACAATGTTTCTATAAGTGTATTTGTATGTTCTGTAAGGACTTCCGGGTATATAGTAGAGCTGACAAGGGACAAGGATGTAGTCTTCTTGGCCACAGCCAGCTAGTAGAGGAAGCAAGTAGTTGGACCTGTGGTCTCAGGACCATAGTCACAGGGGACATCAAGTTCAATTGCACAAGATACTACACCAAAATATTGTTCCACATCCTAGTTTGGCAAGTAGCAGCTAGGATCTTAAAGGCTTGCAAGTGGCCATCTACATGCAACAATGGGTCTCTCCTTGTCAAGAGCAAATAATGAAGAAAACCAAAGATGCATGGAAACAATTAGTCCAAAGTTCTGGTATACCATGTGATCGTCACCCTATACGACTATGAGACCAGAAGAACTAGATGAGACCAGAAGAACTAGTGCCCAGCTACCACTGTCAACCACTTGGAGGGGGATCTCTGTAGGAGATCCTAGATAAAGTGGGAGAACAATGTGGAACAAAACTCAAAATCATTTAAAAAAAAAAAGGACCAGATTTACTGGTCTGATAGAGCCTGGTGGAACCCCTAAGACCATGCCCTTCAGGTCTGGAACTGAACTTACTCCTATGGCTTCCAGCCAAACAAAAGACAGGCATATGAGCTGAACATTTACATTAGGTAGATATACTCATTGGAGAGGTCAATCACGGGAGAATAGAAGGGCTGTGTATGCACAGGGAGACAGCTCGGGGAGCAAGAGTGCATGGGAGGGAAGGACACAGGGAAGAGGTGGCTATGGGGAGGAAGTGGGAGGAGAGTTGTTGCATTACGGAAGACTGCAGTCAATGTCATGAGACAAAGTGTATGTGAACTGCTAAATGGAAGATGAATTTGCTCTGTAAACTTTGGCCCAAATCAAAGTGAAATAAAAAAAAAAAATCATCACGAACCACAAGGCAGTTTATTGTACTAGGCTTTGTTTCTGTTTGAAATGTTTTACAATGCAGTTTTGAAATAAAAAAATATATATATACCTTAATTCTTCAAAATCTCATCCAGGCAATTCTGACATACAGCTAGAGAAAAAAAACACGGGTCTGACTCCTTGGTTTCTGCTATCCCCTTCTGTAACTGAAGTGATGGGAAGAAATACTGTAATTTTCTTAGCAGAATTAGCTCAGCTTGGTCAAGCCTATTCTTGATGGTTCCACAAGCCAGTAATCTCTGACTCTAAATAGGTCTCAAGGTCTCAAGACTCAAATTTCCTAGAGAGGGATGTACCTACGATTCTTCCCAGAGAGGCCTTGGCTGCTGTAAGAAACCAACACACTAGAACTTTCCCAGGAACACGAAGCTAAAAGGAAAGGAGTAGGGAGGGAGCAAGCCAAGGATCTGTCTGAATGGTCAGGAGAAACCTACCAGATGAAGAATCCAGTGTTTTGCCAGGTAATTCAATTTAACCCTGAACACACAGGGTTCACCTGGGGGAGCAGAGCACAGGGAGGGCGGGTAATTTATTTACACTGTGGCTGCTAAATACCAAGTCAGATGTTAATAACAAGCTCAGCTCTGCCACCCAGAGGCATGTGGCCCCCTACAAAGCAACTCGTTCATCATCTATTCTAAGAAACTTGAGGAAAATGAAAGCCAGACCAATTATGGAAAAATTTAAACAAATCCAAGGAACTTTTAACTAAAGAACAGAAAAGTCACTATACAGCTAATGTAAATTAGTATCTTTATTGAAAAGGAAAACAATGTTTTCACTAGAAAAGCTATTAATACATCCTTCTACATGAATATATTATTCAGAAGAGGGGAAGTGGCAGTTGGGAGGCCTACAAATTGTAAAGGGTAGAAAATGAATGCAAGTTAGAAAGACAGAACTCTTCCCAGGAGCAAGGGAGATGCCTATAGTTAGTTTCCTGGTTACCTAGTGGGCAGGGGAGATCAGGAAGAGATCCTCCTGGTACATAAATATGTGAGAGGTTATTGCCCATAGCTACCACAATGATTCCCTTCTCCACATCCCCCCCCAACACACATACTCTTCTGGCCATGGGAAGCCCCCTGCCTCCCCCCCTGTGTAGCCCAACCACAATCTGGTGGCCAGAACACTCTCTAAAATGCTAATTCGGCTTCCTGAATAGCCAGTCCTTCAGGCGCAAAGTTTTTATCAGGCGCAAAGTTTTTAACCCGTTAAGGCTGTTGTCACTGTAGATCACCCTCAGCCCACTGCAGAGGACTATGCTCACCAACACACCACCAGCCACTCCACTGGCAATTCCTATTCCCAATGCAGATGCCACATGCTTTTTCCACGTTGGACGGGGAGGCCTGGAATAGTTGTCCAGGTTCACTTCCAGGCCCTCATCTACTAATTTCTGACCCTCAGTCAGGGAATGATCAAAATTCAGGTTCACCAAGTGAGAAGGAAGGACCCTCAGCCCATAGTAAAGCCTCTTGACAAATTTCAAGTTTTTTAACAGCTGCACATCACACCGGTATGTCCCAGAATCAAACTCCTTAGCAGATGCAAACTTCACGAAGTGGGAATTGGCTCGGAAGGGTTTGAAGAGCTCATCATCAGTTGAGATGATACCTCGAGCAAGTCTCCAGGTGAACCGGAAAGCTTCTTGCCCAACCTCCAGGATGTCTGAACTCAGACAGCTCAGCTCAAACTCCTTTCCCATGGGAATGGTGAAATGAAGCATTCCACAGATCCAGTTGGTCAGACATTCCAAACGCTGAAACTTACACTTCCTTCTCACACCATCAGGACCCACTTCACAGACAGTCTCTTCCTTATAGCCAAGGCCACAGGTGACAGTACAGGTTGTGGCATTAATGATAACTTTCCCAACAGCTTCTTGCAGCTTCTCAGGGATGGCCAGTGTTTTAGGTAAAGTCACCACAAAAGGCAGATAGAGGGCCAACACAAGGCTCCCAAGGATGAAACCAGTGGCCAAAGTCTTCATGTCTCAATAGGAATTTCACTACCTTCAGTCAACATACCAAGCAAGGTATTCCAGTTGAATATTCTTCGATATTATGACTTAATTCTTTTGACATGAGATATCCTTCAAAGTCAAAAGATATGATGCATGCATGCACTTCAAAACAGTGTAGGCTAATAAACAAAAGTCCAATGTCCTTGTTAACAAGTTAGGCCATAAGGCAAGAAAAGAAAAAAACAAATTACAAAGTTGTTGCTTTAATGCTTCTTAATCACTATTGTCTTCATTCTTTTCACAGCCTGTAACAGATTTAAATCTACCTTTAAATCTACCTCTTGGGAAGACAGCGATGAAAAGACTTCAGAAGCTAAAGTGAACCTCCAAATTACCTAAATGCACAGTGAAGCCACACTCTTCTTGCCCTTTGCTCTCCCCTCCAAAATGTGGGATCTAAACGAAAGGTTTCAAAATCTCAGTGAAATCTGACCAAACAAGAAATCAAATATTACAGTCTAAAAAAGATTAATTTGAATCAAGTTATTAACCACTGTAAATGCTCCTAAACCTTTTATAATAAGGATTAAGAACATCGTACCAGGAGGCAAGTGACTTATCCTCCCTGAATTTCTATTTCCTCCTCTGTAAATTAAGACCTCCTTGCTTACTGCAGGAAGGCCACTTTGAGCATCAGTTGACATACTGTACATGAAAACATTGTGTAAAGTGTGAAACACTGTCAACATGTAAGGAATTTCAAACAAATCAAAATTCACAAAGATTCATCTCCTCCCTTTATAGACCAGAGGATCTCATTGTTTGCTTGGGTTGAGGTTGCTATGAAACTGCTATGATGCCAAAGGATTCTCAGTCACTTAGAAAAGATTAAGTAGACACCAAGATTGGGAGAGGATTAAAATCAAGGACTTTAAATAGACTTTATGAAACATTCTTTAGGAGACAATGAGTAGTCAATGGATTTTAAAACAATTTAGGGAAGAAAAAAAAAAGGCTAATGAGGAATTTTAACTGTACTACATTGTAAGAAAGGTCCCTGGAAGGCAGGAACCTCCACTCATTCATTCTTCTAACCTTCAGCGTGCCCAGCACTGTGGCTTCCACAGAGTTGTTATACAAACTTCTACTGAGCTAAAGAATCTGGAAAGAGATTTTGGGATCTCTTTTCTAGATATTTTTGGTTAATACCAACTTTTTTTTTTTTTTTTGCCTAAATCATTTATTTATAAGCTTGCCTAGAGGCAGAAATCTGGACTACCTAACCACCCTCTAGCCCTTCCAGTTCTGTATTTCTACACAGAATGAAGATCTCACATCCTCTCAACATAGTAAGCTGCATTTTCCATAGTACAAAGCAAAGTAGTGGGTGAGTATCAGAAGTGATCGGCGCTTACAAACAATCATCTACACCTGTTCTTTAATAAACATCCAATTTTATTTACAAAGCATTAAAGCTTCAGCAGAAATACCCAAGGCTAAGTCTCATCTTGTACAAAACTACAGAACACTAAAAAACAAAATGAGAGAAGGGGGGATGGGGGAAGAAGAGAATATACATATATTGTACAACTCGAGAAATTCAAACTGAAATGGATAAACAGTTTTAGGAGCTGAAAAAAAAAAAAAAAAAAATCCCAAGCATAAATAATTATTAGGAGCTGCTGCCAGAGACAATCTGACAAGGTTTAAATCGATGTTCTCAGTAGCCAGTTTAGGAGGTGTACACAGCATAAACATCCAAATGCACAGGAAACCAATCTACTTCACACATGGGAAAAAGGTAGAAACCCTTCATATCACACAGCTTGCACACTACGGCAGCACACAGTACAGAGAAATGGAATGACTATAGTGTATGCAAACAGAAACATGTCTAGTGAGCCACCTAACCAATCTCTACTACTGGTATAACTCATAAGACATTCACAGAATGGGCATGTGAGGAAAAAGTAGTGGCATCTTCACCTGGAGACTAGTGAGCCCTTTCCACATGTGGTTTCTTTACTATGGATTTTCAGAGAACTTCAGCCATCTACTGTACATGTCCATCCGATCTGCTACTTTTTACACATAAGCAACAATAAAAGCAAATACACACACCCACGCACCCACACACACACCCCAGAAAGAGAAAGCTAAGCAACCTTTCACAGAAAGGAAGTCACTGAAAACATGCAGTAAGAAAACAGAGCATGGATGCAGGGAGGACAATGATTAAAAAAAAATTTACCTTCATCTTTGATTTGAACTGTGTTGCTGCTGCTTTGATTATGGATGGTTTTACTTTAGTCCTTGCATAGATTCCCCCATCCCAATAAAAAAGAAGCTTATATGGAGACATCTTGGCTTGTTTCCATCTCTGGAAGCCAGCACAGATTGTGCAATATAAAACTACTAATGATTCTTTGCTGGAGACAGATGAAACTTGCTATCTTCAAAAGCCATGATTAATGCAAATAACCCAATGCTGGAGGGAATCACGAAATGGAAGGAAAACAAGAAAAAAAAACCCTGATGCTTTTAAAGCCCAGCTTCTTGAGGAAAATGTGGTAGGAAGAGGGGCCTTCTTACAGTTCCTTCCTTCCTAAAATCTTTCACACACTTTCTATTACTGCTCATCCTTTGTATACAATATGGAAATATAGGAGGTGTCTGGTGAGAGGGTAAGTTTAAAAATGAAGAAAGAAAACATGCAACAGTTTTGCTAGGATACTAGTAGTAAAACAAGTCGCTCAAGGACATGCACTGAGGACAGAAGGCAAATAGGAAATGACAGGTTTAAATGATGCTTGGTCAGATGAGCAAAAACCACAGGGGTCTCTTCTCCAGCAATACAACTAAACAAGTTTAAATGAGTCAATACTCCCACGTGATGTCTTCACAAATCCTCATTCCTGAGAGCCTATTTGGACTTATGCTTGAAAGGGAAGGGAAGGAAAGGGACGTATACTCTTCTTCCATAATTCACTTCTTCATCCAAACATAAAATTCACTCCTTCCACCTCCTGGGTGGGAGGTAGAGGACTTTGTTTTAAATTAAAGTCAATCTCAAATGATTGACCACAGAGTCCAGAGGCCACATGATGGTGAAACAGGGAAGAATGAAGAACTTCAAGGATCTTCACAACAGTTCTGAGATCGCTCCCCCTGCTAAAAAGATCAGACACAGAAAGATTTTTTTAGCATCAACTTAGATAAGTGATTTACAAGAACAGAAACACTTGATGGGAGGTGGATGACGCATTACAAGCATACACGGGTTAAGAATTTCTCCTCTTTTTGAAAAGTTGCAACCACCTCCAACTCCCAATTACCCTTTATTGAAACTACAAATAATCCAAACCCCAGCCTCTCACCCCAATATTCTTCTCAGTACTGTCCCAAAGGGAAAACAGAAAAATGATCAGACTTCTACACATTCTCTAAACTGCTTGCCAATCTCTTAAGTATTAACAAATAATGCTTAATAATCTAAAAAGTGCAGTAAGTAGCAGATAGGAAATTCTAGGGAACTACACCTTTCAAACCCTCATACAATACAATACTTACACGCTAAGGGGTTAACGGTGAGCTACAGACCCTTTTCCAAGCACCCCTGTTCTTAAGTGATATTTTCTTATCACCTCAGAATCCCAAATATGGTGAAATGTTAATGAGAGCTACAATCACACTTGTATGCACCAATAACTGATCAGTAAATAACACCCTAAACAGTAAAATCAAATGAACACTTCCCTGATTATTCCATAGAAGTTGTTCAACTTCTTAGAGGACATCCTTAAATGGGCTGCTGTGAAATATTAACTAGGAGGTGTAAAAAGAGAACAAGGTGAAGAAAATCTTCCTAGATGTCATTTGGAATGGTAAACTGGTTAAAAAATAATTGCCCAAGCTATGAAACAATTTTTAAAGTGAAGCTCAAGTTGTACTCATTTTTAAAGTCATCTCAAGCACTAATAAAAACTGGCAATAAAAACACATTCACATCTGCCTGAGAGTAGACTGACATTATAATGAAACCCAAACTCTGTTGAATTCTACACTGTTAAAAATCAAACTTAAACTTTTCTTCATTGTTCAGCAAGATGAAAGTTTATTTAGCACTTGTTTTTCGGATCGCTCCCAACATAAAACATAATCATTAACCTCTTAAGGTGATTTAAAAAAAAAAAATCCTGAGGCAGAAGAATCTGCTCCACAGGGCTCAATACCTGCCTTTATCATTTGAAGAGAAGCTTTGCTGGCTGTTCCCATGGGCACCTGGCCATTTTATTTGAACAGCGTTTAAATGAACACAATGTTGACATCCTACACCTATATTATGATAGGCAAAAGTGACTTGATCACAAATCAGGAGGATTAATAATGGGTGTTCAAGATGACTACTACAAGAAGATCTGGTGGTGCAGTGCCTAAGGCATTTGACTGCTAACCAGAAGGCTGGCAGTTCAAACCCACTGGCCACTCTGCAGAAGGAAGATGGGGCAATCTACTTCCGTAAAGATTTATGGCCTCGGAAACCCAATGGGGGTCACTGAGTTGGAATCGACTCCCTGGCAGTGGGTTTGGTTTGTTTACATATCCTTATTCTTGTGGACAGAAAAAAAAAAAAAGTGTTGTTGAGTTATCAGAGCAAGATAAGATACACAGAAATAGTAACATAGGAGAAGACCTACAGGCAATCCAAAAATCTGAAGCAGCAACCACTCCAAGAATATACATGGTTTCACTACAACATAAAGAAAATCTCCTGTAATATAAAATTAAGATAAATTCAGCACGTGATGAATACTTATTGGGGTACCTCCCAATAGCAGTCCAAGCCAGGGTGGTCTGAGAGAACCCTTGATCATAATTTTGAAGCTTTACCTTAAGTCAGCTACTAAGAACACAAAGAATGAGAAAGAATAATCATCTGATTTAGGGGAATTTCATATATTAATCTTAGAGACTGTTCATTTAAAGTAGAAGAGGAGGTAGAACATAAAATGATACAGCTGCTGTGG